TGTTCTGAATGAGAAGCACTGTGACATCATTGAATTGTACTGCTGGGCACATTAGTGCACACCTGCTGGGCAAGACACATGACTAACTGGCCAAAGTCATTCATAGCCCTCACACAATGACATCACCTAGAAATGCCCTATAAAACCATGTGCTCTGCAGCTCTCCCAGAGCAAGGGCCCTGTGAGGACACAGCGTGTCTGAGTTGCTGAGGTCTTTTTAGTGACGCACAGTATACAGTGGTGCCAGTTCAAGGAGCACTTGGACATCTGAGGACAACAGGAGAAAGGTTAAATCTGAAACTTCCAGCAACATTTAAAAACAGTGCAGCAATATTTTAGGACAGAGCCAAGACTCTCGGGTAGCTGTTGTAATACTAAGTCTTTCAGACAGACCTTTAAGGAGGAGAGGTGCTGGTTACTGTTAACATATAGAATAGCTAAACATGCTGTTTGTAGTCATTGCAGGAAGCCTTGATCTGTTGTTTTTCATTAACAATCCTTGTTCATTTCCTTTCATAACATAAAACATGAATATAGCAAATTAGCTGCCATCAGTCCAAATCCCACAGAGACCATATTCAATATCAGCATCAGGATCCACATCAGCAATCATGTATATCAGGGCTGGTGTACAACATTACTAATTTCATATAATAACAACAACAAAAGGCCTCCTCAAGCCTCTAAGCCACCCTGGATATGAAACAAGCCCACCTGAGAAAAGGCCTCAGGTGACATCGAACAGATGAACTTGGTTCTTTCTACCACACCTTGGCTGTCCACTGCTCCAGACACAGGTTTCTGCTTGAGCCTGCACTGTCTGATCGCAAAATCTGAACATTTCTGTCCTTCCCTTTACTGTGGTTGCATGGCAACAGAGTTAGCCATGGGTGTGGTAGCACAACTCTGAAACGCAGTGGCCTATGATTAAGACGATCAGCCTTTAATTATAAATGTGTTTCTGTCTGCACATGGCTTTTAAACGGCAACAATGAATTATAAAGGGGTACACACGGTGCTCTGAATGGCATTCTGGTTTAAAGGAGCACCCAACACTCAGGTGGTTTTGTTTTGATGTAAATCTAGCTTTCATAAGATTAACAATTTAAACCGAGAAGTGCCTGGTACACACCTTATAGGAAAGATCTGTGGCCACAGTACTGTTCTAGAGTGTTAAAAATGTAATAGTTTATAACTGCAGAATTAAAGGAAGAAAACATTTGCTTTATTGTGGAATAAAGGAACGAGCTTTCTTTTTATCAATCCTGCATACACTTATGCATAGACTTATGGAATGCACTCTGCCAATATTGGGCACTTTGCCAGCAAAAGCTCAATTTTGACATCACTGCGCACTTGGCCATCATCTGCTGGGGGGAGGTGGGGTTCTCAAACTTCACCACCATGGCAGCACCTCTGGACACAGACGGTAAGGGGAGACCCAAGCGAGTGTGTTTTCCTAGGAAGCGCCTGTCCCGGTTCCCCTCTGTGGTCGCCAGGCGCCAGACGCAGAGCCGAGTACAGAGGAAGACCACACTTCCACAGCAGCTATACAGACACAACCCCCGCCTTCCCAGAAGCCCCCCAGGTCACCGCACCTCCGCGTGTCTTCAATTCACTTAAGAGACTTCTGTTACGACTTTGTCCACTCTTTCAACATTTTAAATATTGGTTCTAGGATTACGAGCAGAGTGAACCTCATTTTTCTAGGTTTGGGATCTTACTGTTAAGAGAATGAAATGGCTATTTCCCCTTCCCCCCTCTTCACACAGGTCAGCGCCAGGTGGAGAAGGTCTTGGCGAGGACATGAGGATAACCTGACACTTTTACACATGAGAGGAGGGAATTCGGCTCCTCCAGCCAGTTCCTGAAAGAAGCCATGGCTCTGGAGTCAACATGGTTGGGAAAAAGTATTAAGACACAGAACGCACGCTCCATAGTCCCACAACCCTGTGCATAAAGCAGCAGCTCTGAAAGGCTTCCTCCTTGGGATGACTCTTACACAGGGCAGAGCCTCCACAGACGCATCTCAGCCCAGCTCTTCAGCTCGTACAGGACATCACAGCAAACCGTCAATTAAAACGCACCAAGACTCAGAGCTCTGGAACGAATATGAAAGTGTTTAATGTTTAAATTTTTAAATTAATAAACATGTTAGAATTAATATAGTTCTTAAAAAAATAATTCCATCAAATGAAAAAGTCACTTTTCACCTTATGCAACTCTTATTTTTTTTATTGCAACTGGAAGACAATACATCACAGAAACTTTATGGTAGGTTTCAGAAAAAAAAACAAAAAAGGTTTGTCATAGTAATGGACAAAGTGATATTTACATTAATTGATGAAATAGTTTTGTCTTTGGCAATATGATTACACATCAAGGAAATATAGAATGCAAGAATGCCTCCATATTGACAGTTTCTTATTTCAAACTTATCTCGAAAGTTGGCCAAGTGCACATGCCCTCAAGACTGCGCATTTCTAAACAAAAACAAAAGAAATTACCCAGATCTTTAGCTTCTTCTCCTCCTCCTCAGGAGCTCATTTTAAACAATAAACAAAATGGCAGTTCACATCTCAAAATAAACACAACAAAAAAGTGGCCTTTGGCCGCTATAACTTTTGACTCACATAAACATTGCGTGTTCACTAATTTTCTCTTCTACGTTTCTCGCCCATTCCCAATCAACACTTCCACAGGAAACTAAGGGATTGGTTATGTAGTGAGTGTGGGCATCAAGGCAAGAGCCTGCAACCAGAGGGCAGTCGAATTCCACCTGCAGGACGTTTTTTCTCTCACTAGTGGATATAAGGGGGGGGTGTCTCTCAAACAGTATTTTAAGAATCATGCAATGAGCCCTCTTCCCACCTAAAACAATCAATATTCAGGTTTCCTTTCAGTCCTCCCTGAATTCTTAGGAATGTCCTCTATTGCAATGGTGCCATCGGCGGATGACAAGCGACCTTCCTAGGAAGAGGCGAATCTATGCAAACTGATTACAATGGGAAAGCAATACTGCTGGAAATTCTCCAGTGAGATTATTTGCAGGGCAGATATAGATTTAGCAATTCCAAGCAAATAATCTGGATGGAGTGCAGAACGTTATTGTCATGATTAGTGGGCAGCAAAGGGAAATGATACATTGAGCTAAATATCACCCAGGCATAATGCCTGCGGTGAAAAACATTGAGTGATATTAGTGTAACTATTGCAGGATTAATATGCCTTGATCACAGTTTTTTTCCTATCAAAAATATTAATCTTCTTGAATGGGCAGTGTAGTGTTTGTGTTTCTCAGCACAGGGGTAGTTCACAGCTAACAAGACAAAATGAGAAATTAATAAGGTTCACCTCCAGGTCGAATACATCCTATTTTTAATTAAAAAACATGCAACTGGCTTTGGCACTGAACCTTGTAATCAACGATATCCTGGATTTAATAGCTCAGTAAAATCTGGTGAGCTAATCTAGCTGGATTTTCTAATGTAGGTATTTAAAAACATGATTTTTTTGTAATTGTTCAACAATAATACTGACACTTTAACCTGAATACTGGCAGCAGACAGGTCACAAGAAAATGTACAAACCAAACAAAGGAAGAATGAAAATAAAAGAAGGCAGTGTGAAATTAATTTGTGACATGAAGATTATAACCTGAAATATTTGCCAAACACCAAATCTTGTGCATCTTGTGCAAGGCAGGCATGAGAGGGGAAGGGGTGTACACTCACTACTAACTTCTCCATGAACAGGCGAGCTATAACATTTACAGACCAGAATCCCAAGACATTTTAACATTACTCATTTGATAAGCAGAAGTGGGTAGAACGTGCAGACAAGGCAGTATATTTCAATCACTCGAGCCCTACCCGAAATGTGAATTCGTCATATTGCAGAGAACGAGTTCCCAACAGTCTATGTTTGTCCCTGAAGAAGGTTTAACTTTAAAAGCCTGCTTCAAAACAAAAATAGGAAAAGACAACAAAAATAAACCTAGGCCTATGGGCATTAAAATTAGAGGCATAGCCTTTTCTCTAGGATCTAGATTTATATGAAAATAATTCATGCTCCATGCTAAATACATTATTTACCTTACATGAACTTTGAATAAAAAAACAGTTTCTTTTTGTTTACAGAACCCATGCAACACGATTTGGAAAAATCCTGCTGGCTACATTGGTTTAATCAAGAGAAAAGAAAAAAATTCTATTGTCACCTTTATACAGTGTTATCCTGACTGGATGAAATTGCTTATTTGATTGTGAGGGTAGGAAAAGAAAACAAACAAAAAAATGAAAATAAAAACTCCACAGTCATTTAAATATTTTTTGTCGTCATAATACTATTGGCAGGTTTTGTAGCATCTTTTATCCCATTAAGGGTATTTGCTGTTACTGTTCCACGGAGGAGTATCACTATTTTATATCACGTAATTAATTCAATTGCTTAGAAAAATAACAGAGGCAGTTTCGAAGACATTTCAATTATTATTATTTTTTTTTTTGCACACACTGCTCCGGCATATCAGGCTTATGGCTTTTAAAATTATTTTCTTTTATTTATAGAAGACTGAGTTCAGTGGTTGACGTTAATACCGGTAACCAGCATCCAAATGTTTTTTCTTCACATCTCCATGTCTTTCTGCCTTGGCGTGTACGACTGTGATTAGCCTCGATTAGTAGCCAGAGCACAGCCGCCACAGAGACAACACAGTCTAAAGTTAAGTGCAATTGTCATTGCTGGTAAACCAAGGGCTTGTCTTGGGCACTACCTTTTCCAAGTGTCTCACAGAAAGACACTTGCTATAGGGCTGCCTGCAAATACTTCAAACCAGAAATATCTGCAAAGCCCAAGACCACACACACACGTTCTTCCCAGCAGCAGCACACTGAGGTGGCTCAGCTCCCCTCCACGCCAGCTGGACTCTTGGATGCATTACATACAGGGGAGATTGTTAGAGGTTTTTTTTCTTCCTCTTTCACACTAATGTTGCTGTGTTGTTGTTGTTTTTTTTTTTTGCTCCACCTTTCGTGTTTTGCCAATCGAAGAAACCTGACTTGAGTTTGGCGGAATTGTATTATGTTTTTCCTTCTCTATTCAGTCGACAAAAATGTGTTCCTAAACATTAGCTGAGCATCAGAAAAAGTTTTGCTATGGCTTTAATCTCCTTTAAACAAAACAACAAAAAAACAACCCTCAAAAAACAGTATCTATAAAGGATAGGAAAACAAAGTGATTGTTGATATTGCCACAAATCATTAGAAGTCACCTGATGTCTTGGAAAAAAAAACAAAAAAACTGTAAATTCTATTAAAACTGATGTTTTCAGTCTTAATTTTTCATAGACTCTTTCTGCTCTTTTTGTCCTTTTGCCGTCCGGTTGGTGATGTTGTTCAAACATGCCCGGACCCCTGCTAAGTGCAAGAGAGAGCCCGCCGCCTCCTTCATCTCCTCGTCGTCGCTCTCCGGCGGCTTCTCCGTGCGCCGCTTTTTCAAGGGCAGCGTGTCGGCCGAAACTTTCTGTTTGGCTTTCGCCAAGTGTTGCCTTTTCTTGTGCGGGGCCAGGCCGCCGGCGTCGGCCAGCGCGTCCCGGCTCTCCCGGCGGGCCGGCCTCCTGTCCTCGTCCTCGGCCTCGGGCTCGCTGGGGCTGTCGGCCGCGGCGGCGGCGGAGCTGCCGGCGGGGGAGGCGCTGCGGCGGAGCGCGGATTTGGCGCTGCTGTAGTTGTGATCCTCTTTCGGGTCGCTGCTCACGACCGGGGAGCCGCAGGACGGCTCGCTGTCGCTGCGCACCCGGCAGCCGCCCAGGAAGGCCCTGCTGGACGAGAGGGAGGACGGGGTCACTGATCCGCCCGGAGCGCTTCCCACACCTCAGCCCTGCCCAACACACCCGGCAGTCCAGACAACTCGCTCTTGACCGTACACAGACCACAGCCTGACCGGGGAAGAGGTGGTTCTTGTCTGGAGATCTGTCATGAGCATGATCCTCGCCAAGCTTGGAAAAATAAACCCCAAAGCTTTTCACAGCACGTCTAGTTCCTGCATTAATACCTCATGAATTATGGCCAATGCACAGCATGCAAAGAAAATTATACTCAATAATTAATACCTAAATGCAGTGTCATTCACTTCTGCGTGAACAGGGTACATTTACTTTTAGATGGTTTCTCACTGCAGGAGCTGTCATTAGAGGGTACTAAATGCTTCGCAGGAGACAGCATTTGGCTGGATCTGGCAATAAATTACTGGTATCTCAGGAAAAATCCAGGGATGTGCAAATCCTGAGGTATGTCCACACTACACATTCCCCTGTTTCATCAATGTGTTGCTGTGGCCCGAAGATCAGTGGTCGAGCGTGACACCATCTTCACACCGCTGACGTCCATTCTCTGCAGGGAGGCACGCCGTGGAAGAGAGGATACGAGATGAAAGGACGGCAAGTCAAGTACAACAAGAACCGCCGGCTTCTTTTCTGTGCTGCGCGAGTCTCGAAATGCAGCTCTGGGAACCTGGCGGGCGCCAGGCCTGTGTGGGCACACGCGCTCAGGGCCGTGGTGAGGCCAACTTACACTCTGGGCAAATCCTCTTAACTACACGATCAGGGCACAGATCCATAGGGATAAGAGCAGACCAAGAGTGGCGGGGGAGATCTGGAGCACCTTTCTTTACATAAACAGGTCTAAGGCGCAGGGACCGAGATGAGCTCTCCAGACGGGCTGTGGGCCACAGGATGAGCCAGCGCGCGGCTCCGGCCCGGCCCGGCCCGACTCTAGCCTCTAGTCAGTCTGTAAACTTTCAGGACAGGCTGCAAATCCAGCAGCCGAGGACAACTCTGGCATGGCAAGGAACAGTAACAATACTTAGGAAAACTAAAACTACCAACCTCAAATCCTGAAGAACAAGAGCAGTGTTCAGATGACATACGATCTGTTTTACACAGCAAGCCTCATTCTCCTGCTTCCACTGTGAAAACACACTGGCAGTACAGCAACTGCTCTGCAGCACTGTGTGGATACGATACTATCTGTTTAGTTTGCTCTGAAAAGCTGTTTGTTGCCTGTTTTTGCATATGTAGCACAGAGTTTGTTAAACAAAATCTAGAATTCTTTTTCTGGTGCTAACAGTGGTGTATTAATACAGTGCTCATACTGTAACTCCTATTACAGTGACCTAGATTTATTAATATTTTACTCACCAACATACAGTGAAACTAGCTTGCGTAGAGCCATACACTGAATATTACTATTTGATTATCTTTAAAATTTGAATTTGCATCAAACATGCACGATTTCTGGTGGTTTTAAAGAATAACGTGGACATACACTAGCCTGGAACTTGACAGACACATAATACATACAGAATGTTCCAAAGCCATTGCTGTAACAATCTGAAAGTATTGATGTTTTTTCAGACTTACAAAAGCACTACTAAACGTACATGACATCCAGTAGGTTTTCTCTTTAAAAGTGAAAACACTCAGTGTCTGAACATTTCTACACAAGAGTAAAGAAAGTATATTGAAGTATAAATTCTTTAAATGTTTTTTTTAAACATGGTTTAAGTCTGTCCTCTCCTGTCTTTTTTTAAATATATTTTTATTTTCATTAAAAATAACTAATTGTAACACAGGCACTCTGTAGCTGTGCTCTGCTGCTGTAGGCTTCTATCAACCTTCTATCCAACTCATATTTCCAGCAGAAAAGGTTTTCTTTTTGCTTTTTAATTAATTAATTGAAATACACATCTCATCTCATCATAAGATCAGCAATTGCATTTGGCGTCTTGCATGAGACTTTATATAAAAACATGCTACAATAAAGCAATCAGACACGTGAATATTTAACACAGAAGCTAGTGTACTTAGGGTTCAGGATTTAAAAGTGCAAAGACCGATGTGCAAGATCGGATATGGGCTGGGAGATCATTCCACACACTACCCAAGGCTTGGACCACAGCCCGACTGATGTGAGGGCTGTGGGGAGTCAGCAGTTCACTGGTGTAGTCAAGAGCTAAACCAGGCCTTAAGGTGAGCAGGAGTACTTCAGTCTTTTTTCCAGAATCCACAAGAAACTAAAACAGGAGAGATATACTCATGCGCTGTAGAAGAATTTAAGATCCGAGCAGCCTTTTCCAGTACTGAACATATAACATAATAAACATAATGCAACTTCAGATCATATCTGAGTCCTGTACGAAACAGTCTGGCCATGTCTGGTAAAACAAAAAGACTGAATGGATATACACATGCCTCACGGCTCCTGTCCGGCTTCCTATCGGATTGATTGGCAGTGGTCTGATGCCCGGGTATATCCCCTGACTCCCCATCCGAGCTCCGTTCTGGATCACTCCCTGAGGGACTGAGAGGAACAACACAACAAGTCACACCCACGGGCCACGGACAAGACAGCGTCAGCATTCCCAGCGTCAGATTCCCGGTCGCAACGGTTACACGTGCTGTTGCAAACATCGGCCCTTCGGGGAAAGGAAGGAGGGACGGTTAGTAACGTTTCCTGACTACTTCACACCCTCTCCCCACCTGGGAAAATAATGTCCCAGCAGCGGCGCGCGCAGCAGGGATATCATCATCACAGCTTTTAAAACATCTCGTGGAAGGAGGTCACCTTACAAATATGCCTTAATACAGCAGATACTTGGCTCAAACAGCATTTAACCTTGCTGTCTTGATTCACTGCAAAGCCACAATAGAGGTTCAGGAATCCCTGTCACTGTGGAGGCACCAAACTCTCAAACACCTTCACCTGGAGACTCGGTCACATCCCTCTCGTCCAGGGCCACCAACAGAAGAACGTAAGAAAGGCTTTAGAAACGAAAATGAGTTCTGAGAGTTGTGACCTTTTCTTCCAAAGGCTGCAATGAGTGAGCGAGTCAGTGTCACATTTGAATAGGACTGTTAGAGCAGCAAGGAACCTCCCTGAACACATGATGCAAAAACAGCTGCCCAGGAATGGAGCTCTGCTCCTTCTCCCTGTTGTCCTGGGCTCCACCCGCACACCTTGCTGCAGTACTCACGAGAAGCTGGCAGGTCTGGAGTATTCAAAAGCATCATGGTAGCGGCAGCATCAATGTCAGGATCTAAGAAATGCAAAGGAAAACTGCACTTAAAAAGAGTCACTGCTGTACGAGGTGGTTTCTGAGCTGCACTCCACATTCCTCTTTTCTCCTGAAGGTGTCCTGAAGAGGCACAGAATGTGAAACAGACACACAGTTAAACGGCCATGAACGGATTAGGTCACTTCTGTCCCCTCGGATTAAAACAACGTACTTGTGAGATGATTTGTTGTTGTTGTTGTTGTTGTTGTTGTTGTTGCCCATTTGAACAAAGAATTAGGATATTGAGTACGTTTATCTCCTGTTCGTGTTACAACTGAGCAAAAACCGGCACTAAGACGTAATACAGAAACCTTTTAATTATTTTTTATCTTGTTACATTAATTAGGCTCTACAGTTAAATAAAGATACAACAGCTGAAGGCAAACAACAGTTATCTTAATCTTTTCATTAATGAGTGGAAAGTACAGAAACAGCGAGCCTTTCACAAAGCAGCCTCTAAAACTAAATAATGCCAAAGAAAAATTCTGTCCTCGGTTGGTACAGACAACACACTGTGCCAACACCTGTTATTCCACCCTATTCAGGCGACTTTTATCGACTTTGTATTAACAGCGTTCCATGGGACAGTGGCTAATCTAAAACAGATGGCAGGTTACAAAAAGGAAACTATTATCCATTTGCACCTATATACACTTTTGCCCATTAGGCAGCAGCATCGTTGTCATGGAAACCCCCTGCTTCCATGGTGATGGTACACAATTCGGCGACAACCACTGAATGAGCTGAAAAGAACATCTGTCCTGGCAGAGTGTCCCTGCTGCCCCAGGGGCACAGCACTGCAAGGTGAGGCCATGGCACATGACAATCAAAACTGCCTGGGCCCTGACTGGGCAGGCCGGACGTACAATCAGAGCCGGCAGGAAGAGACACACTTCAGTGTACTACTGTAGTTGGGCTGGTGCACTTCCTCCATCTCTAGCTTTTCACAGTACCCACCAAAAACATTAATTGCCAACTTATGAATGTGCACCATCATGCTCGGGAAGACAAAATGCTGTAGGTACAAAAAATAAGCAATCACACAAATAAATAATGAAGAACAAATTGGACCTGGTAACAAATTTAGCAAAGTCATTCAAAAATGACCAATTAAAAATGCCATATATTAAGCCTTTACAGTGAGTCACTAGCATGAACATCATTCAGATGTGGGAGAAGCAAAACTACAAAACAAGGGAATGAAAATAAAAATCAGATGAAATTTTCTGCAGTATGCACATTTTGGAAGCCTGCAGCTTTGCACGAAACTATACTGTGTGTTTGTCCTTTTCTGTTAAAAATAATGTGCAAGCTGGGTACAGCGTGGAGTCACACACTAGTCTTAGGTACACAGAATGAGATGTCTCTTAGTCAGCAGCCCATTCCATGTGCGAGCGTTTGTGCGCTGTGGCTTTAGTGTGCGAGGGTGTGTGCGAGGGTGTGTACGCTGGGGCTTTAGTGTCCGAGTGTGTGAGGGTGTGTGTGCACGCGAGGGCGTGTGCGCTGTGGCTTGGCTTTAGCATGTGAATGTGTGAGGGTGTGTGAACATGTGTGTGCATGCAAGGGTGTGTGCCCTAAGGCTTTAGCCTCTGAGGGTGTGTGCACATGTGTGAGTGCGAGTGTGTGCGCTGGGGCTTTAGCGTGCGAGGGTGTGTGTGCACTGGGGCTGTAGCATGTGTGTACATGTGTACATGTGCTGGGGCTTCAGCATGCAAGTGTGTGAGGGTGTGTGCGCACTGGGGCTGTAGTGAGTGAGGGTGTGTGTGCGCATGTGTGCGTGTGCTTGGGCTTCAGCTTGCGAGACCGTGGGGGTGTGCGCTGTGCCCCTGTCCTGTGACCAGCTGCTCCTCTTCTCCAGCAGGGGCAGGAAGCTCAGCAAGCATTGTGTTCAGGACCAGCTTCTACAGCCTAAAGTTTCACTAATCTCTTCTCTCTTCGGGAAGGGTACGAAGCAGACAAAGATCCTCATCATTCTTCCAGGGGTTAAAGGTTTGGAGTCCTACACCAAGACCAATGCTAAGGATTGTTTAAAGTTATTTATACAGAGCTTCAAAATTTATTTTAAAACGTATATCAGTGCAATCAATATTACTATCTTACATGCATAGAAATTAAACTCACACACTAAATAGTAAAACGGAGCAGTTTGGTTTCAGGAAAAACTATCCTGTTGTGGACAAGTTAGTCCAGAACAGTTCATTTCCAGATGCATTCAAAGCTCTGCGGAATGAGCACGTCTTCCTCGTGATCTTATTGATCTTTTCAGCAAGGCAGGTGGCCTCTCTGGGGGAAGAGCAGATATCCTCTTGGACTAAACAGAACAGTTTTTGCTGACAGATGCTGAAAATGGAAGGAATGCTATTTTTTTTTAAATACAGGTGATGTGATGCCAGGCATCTGTCCACTGTGATCTTAAATCAATAGTGCACATCTGCTTTATTGTCCCCAAAGAAAAACCATTGACACCAAGCAGGCCGATACCTTCTCATGTTACTACTTATGACACCTAACCAGTTCAACTTGTGTACTAAAATGGGCCACAAGGGGGCAAAATACACACTAGAGCAAAATACCTTTACAGTTTTCTAATTTTCACAGCTATCCAAAGAACCTATCTGACAACTATTTTATCATTACTTCTCTATATAAACTTTTCATTTTTTCCCCGATACGGCATACTCTTTCAAAAAATGTTGTTAAATATGATATCGTATTAAAACAAAAAAAAACAGGGAACACATCAATCTGCTCCACTAAAAAAGAGGAATGCCAAGAGTATTCAACTGCTTTAATCGCCACAAAGCTGGAGTAGTTCTCTTCAGCACCCTTATTAATAAATGGCTCTAGCACAGACACGCTCCCAGACAGGCCCTGCTGAAGTCCAAACACAAGGAGGGCTTGTACTTGCTTATTCCCAGGTCAGCATCAACATGTAACTTTTTCAATGTCAGATAAAGCGCTGTAGTCCCCTGCGCTGAATATACACATTGATCAGCTTACATCACCCCATGCTGACTCCTTCATTACACCTTTCAAGTCAGAGTGTGTGTGTGCTCAGCTGACCTCCCTAACTCCAAGCTCACACATGCGCTGTATTTAGGAAGAGGTGGTGCCCGGTCATTTTCAACAGGAGAAAGGGGTTCAGAATAAGTATTAAGAAAGGATCGGTTGTCCTAACGCACTCCTTAAAAGCTGCACCCCCATTCTCACGACAGGTTCATCTGCAGCGACAACACAAACGAGAGAGGCAGGGAGAACGGAAAAGTGATGAACTATGTTACCTCGAGAACCGTTTAATGTTAGCGATGGCCAACAACAGACCAGCAGGGGAGGATTCAAAAGATTCCAAAATTCTATAACCTTTAAGATGCACTTAAAATAATTCAGCAGCGCCGCTGGGGCCTCAGGAGCCGTATTAATTGACGGCGAGTAGAGATGAGTGCTCCCGGTCCTGGGCGCCTGACAGCAGACTCCTCCCAGAGCACTCTCGGCCATTGTCCTGAACAACAAAGCGCGCGGCCCGGAGGGGTGTCGTCGGCACATCCCGGTCCGGAGCGCGGGCGGTTGGCTTTAGGGACTCCAGGGCTGTTTGTCTGTATTTCTAAAGCAGCAGCAGCCCCCCCGACGAAGACCACCTTTTGTTGGCGGTATTTGTAAAAGCCGTTTCGCGCTCGTGCGCACAGCCCCTTCCGTGTCTCTGTGGCGCTGGTCCAGCCGGACTCGGGGCCAGGGGCTCCAATCCCTGAGGAGGCCCATGTGTCCCAACGCTGTGCAGTAACGGACTAGGGAGTCCGCTAAAACAAAGTGATGGAAATAAAAACAGCACAAACGGCTGTTCATGCCTGGAAGATTTGGATTTTATGGGGTTTTTTTCTGTTTTTTAGGAAATGAGTACACTGAATTATCAATCCCATAACCAAGTGGCACATCTGTTTTACTTACAGTATGCCATTAACTACATCTTTTCTCAAAATCACACTCCACATCCTATCTCAGACTTGTTTCTTTAGTTAGCTGGAGACTGTGATTTGGAAACTAGGATGTTTTCCAAAGGATTTTGTTTTAAGGGAATGCAGACAAATTTCAAGAGCTTTAGTGCATCTACTGTAGGTTGCATGAAGGCAACAGCAGCTAATCGCATGGAACGTTTAAATGTAGGGGTGAAGACACTAGAAAGACAGCACGTTATACAGTATATTTCACGTTTGGATTCCTGACGTTCTGAATGTTCAGGATTGCGTGGATAGTCCAGCAACAATCTTTATCTTGACTAAGAAAGAGTTCAAGGTCATTCGTTTACTACACTTACTCCAGAGAAAAAACATCACTCTCACAACAAGTTTCAACACACGATCTTGTTTTTGCCTTGTGTGAAAAAAATAACTTGTTTTTAACTTCCACCTTTCTTTTCTCACTTGAAACAAAAGGTTAATTAAACTGAAAATATATCAATTCTTGAAGATGTGTTGCTGAGCAACTGTTTTATTGCAATTGGAATTACTTCACATGGACACCCTGCCTGACATAGCAGGAGCTGGTCAATGCCATCACAAACCAAGACACAACACAGAAAAAATGAGACGATGAATGAAATGGAAAACATTTTCTGCATCCAGACTTTTAAAATACTTCATATTCTGGTTGGGAAATTGCTAGACCCACAAAGCATTCTGGACATTTAAATCCAGTTTCCACTGCACAACAAATTACTTCTGACTGGTGTGTGGTGAGACGAGAATCCCAGTTGTGCAGTAAATATTAGATCATCCTGAAGCCAAAGTAAGACGACTGGGTACAGAATCAAGATTAACGACTGTATGAGCTGTATGAGTGAATAGCAAACTGACTACTCCAGCATTACAAATGTAGATGCTGTGAAGAAAGCACTTAATTTCAGCTTTGCAATGCACCCCTTCTACAGTATGTCTCTAAAAAAACAGCCCCTTTATAGCACATGTAAAAGAATGCACAAACTTTGTAAT